CACTAACTTTTTAACGAACAGCGGGAGACGGCTAAAATCTTTTGCACGTTACTCAGGAAGGTGTCCTTGACAACATATGTCAAGGTCAAGGTCATAGGATAGGTCCCCTATTCGGCATTTTTACAAAGTTTGGTGACCACCAAGATCACCCGACCTTACTCCTCCAGATTTTTATCTGTCGGGATTTTTGAAAGACGCAATGTTCCGTCAACCGCCAATAACGTAATAGGATATGATGGATCGCATCAGAAATTCGTGCTGAGTGATTTCAGCAAACGTTCTTTTGAAATTCGTCGAAAGTTTCGAAAAGCGAGTTCGAGTGTGCCGAGCTGTCGATAGCGAAGTTTTCGAACATCTATGATGAATGAGCTACCCCCCTCCCACACACACACACACACACAAAATCGGCCTTTTTTAGGGCCACTATAATGTACAAATCCGACCGAGTAACCTCCCCGCGGTGTACATCGGGTAATGCGAATACCGGCAGTATGTCAACTTCGAAGCTTCATATCTTGAGAATGGCTTACGCAAAAGATAAAAGTAGATAGTGTTTTGAAAACGTCTCAATAAGGGCTACAAAAATATGCAATAAAAAAGGGGAGTTGCATTTAGGATTTTAAAATTGACCTTTACGTAACCTTTAAACGACAATACAAGGTCAAGTCAAGGTCACCCTCAGGTATCCCTCTCTAAACTTACAACTTTTGTTTGAAACATTTTTCGCGATCTGGCATACCTGATGAAATATTTCTGATTGTGGATTAAAATGGATCAGCCTTATATATACAGGGTGTTCCATTTAACTTGAGATATCGAAATAACTCGAAAACAAAGAAAAAAACAAAAATCGCTGAAACACGTGTCGAACGAATTCCAAGGACGAGTAAAATGGCATGATTTCTTTTTCATTTGATGGACGTCTTCAAGGTAATTTTAAGGCCAACTTTGTTATTTCAAATAAAAACCTGTATTTTTTATGACGGAAGCATATTCTACGTAAAAAAACAATTAACTTTTGTTCGAAAAATTTTTTTATTTGATCATTACTTTTGGAGATATCGTACGAAGTAATTCCGATTTTTATTCCAAACAATAAAATAAACGTATCACAATAAATGATGGCTCAAAATGATGGCCTTCTATTTCCAAACGTTTTGATCTAACCAATAATGTATATTATACCGATTAACTTCTTCATTATTGGTAAAAGTAGATTCATCAGAAAATCGCGATCATATGAATATCTCATGTTTACAAGTGTTCCGTATCTCGTGTTTATACTGATCAAAAGAAGCGTGATCGTGCCGCTGAGATGTTTTGATTATTTCGGTTTTATTTTCTGATGAATCTACTTTTACCAATAATGAAGAAGTTAATCGACATAATATGCATTATTGGTCAGATCAAAATTCGAGATGGCTTCGCAAAGTAGAACATCAACGTCCATGATCTGTCAATGTTTGATGTGGAGTCATTGGCGATAAAATAATATTCCTTTTTTCATTCATTCATTCATCCATTAATTTTTCGATTCTTTTTTCATCAATGATACGCTGAATGGAGTGAAATATGGAAACTTCTTGGATGTAGAATTACACGTACTACTTGAAGAAGTAAGCCTAACAGATAGAATAAATATATGGTTTCAGCAGGACGGATACCCAATTCATTATTCGCGTTATGCACGCCAAATAATGAATCAGAAATAACCTGGTCCCTGGATAGGTCGGGGAGGTCCAGGTCGGCGAGGTCGCTTGATTTAATACTGTTAGATTTTTATTTATGGGGCCACCTTAAAGAAAAAGTTTATCACGATCGACCAACCACACCAGAAAACATGAAAGAGCGAATCCGAAATGCCTGTCGCGATATCCGTCCAGAAACTTTATTATCAGTACATCTTTTATTAATCGCTTTAACAAGTGTTTGAAAATGGAAGGCCATCATTTTGAGCATTTATTGTGATATGTTTATTTTATTCGTTTCGAGTAAAAATTGTGGTAATTATTTACATTAACGGACACCTTATGGATCAACTTGATCTTGGCATATGTTATAGAGGATACATTCTTGAGTAATTTTTTCTAATAAATTAATCGGCGTTCGTGCTTTATTAAAAAGTTATTAACCAAAAAAGTTTGGTATATGCGTAAGTTGCAAGTGTGTTTAGCACGGCGCGCTACGCGCGCCCTACCCTCCACTCCCCACCCCACCCCCGCTCTCCCCCATCTCACCTACTCCGCCTCATCCCCTTCCCATTGTTTTTTTCAATGGTCGCGTTCAGCGGAAAAAACTACTCTGCTACAGTTCCGTAACAAACGTCTCTGATTGGTACGTCTGTTCGGACCTGCCAAAGATTTAAAAGAATTCTCCAATCATGAACATTTGCTATTGAGTGGTAGCGGAGCAGTTTCCTCCGCTGAACATGACCAATCACTTTCGTAAACATACTGCTTACAGTACTGATACAGTAGAAGAGTGAGTGGGGGATTAGAAGGGGGATGAAGGGGCGGGGGTGGGTTGGAGAGTGGGGAGTGGTACGCACGTAGCGCATCGTGCTAAACGCACTTGCAACTTACACATATACCAAAATTATTTTTAATAACTTTTTAATAAACAGTAACCGCCAGCTAAAACCTTCCAGCATTACTTAGAGTGATGATCTATATAACATACTATATATAGTATAACTAAAATTTTTGAGATCGGGAGGTGGTCCATAGGTAAAATCACTGCTATATTTTCCTTACTTTTTTGGTTAATAACTTTTTAATAAAGCACGAGCGCCGATTAATTTATTAGAAAAAGTTACTAAAAAATATATCCTCTATAACATATGTCAAGGTCAAGCTGATCCGTCAGGTGTCCGTTAATGTAAATAATTACCATTTTTTACGTAGAATATGCTTCCGTCATAAAAAATATAAGTTTTCATTTGAAATAACAAAGTTGACCTTGAGGACGTCCATCAAATGAAAAAGAAATCATGCCATTTTACTCGTCCTTGGAATTCGTTCGACACATGTTTCATCGATCCTGTTTTTTCTTTGTTTTCAAGTTATTTCAATGTCTCAAGTTAAATGGGACACCCTGTATATATATGGGGCATTCTCTGTCAAATCAGCCACCCCCTGTGCATCTCAATTTTCGATATAAATCACTTTTATAGAGCTCAAAATTTTCGTTGAAATGTCTATTTTTTGATGCCGTCTGGTATTTTTGGCGCCGCAAGATGGCTGCGCCATAATATGAACCGAAACGAGCAAAAGTCATGAAAATGATGGAAAATCCCACTACAAATTTCGAGGTTTTCAATCTTTCATTTCTTTTAAAAACTTAAAACCTCGGTAAATATATGAGATTTGGATCGATGGCGTTTTGGAGATATGAGGGAATCCTGATTCGGCTCGTGGAGTTCAGGGTTCATGGCGTTCCAACAATGAAGAAATTTCAGGACTATGGAACTCATGATGTATTGAGTCATGAGAATCTGGGGTGAGAGATTTTTGGATTCGGGTTATGGATCCGGGGTTCATAGCGAAGAATACAGATTTTTGTAGTAAAGGTTCATATATTTACCGAGTTTTTAAGTTTTAGCGGTGAAGGATTGGAAACCTCGAAATTTGTAGTGGGATTTTCCGTCATTTTCATGGCTTCTGCTCGTTTCAGTTCATATTATGGCGCATATTGCCATCCTGCGGCGCCAAAAATATCAGACGGCATCGAAAAATAGACATTTCAACGAAAATTTTGAGCTCTAAAAGTGATTTATATCGAAAATTGAGATGCGCAGGGAAGTGGCTGATTTAACAGAGAATGCCCCATATATACACACACATGTATATATACTCACATGCACACACATAGGGTGCCCCATTTTAAATTTATGCAAATATCTCGATATAATATCATATTTCGAAAAATATGAAAGATACTGAAAAACATTTCAAACAAAAGTTGTTTGATTTGAAGGGGGGCATAAGACAGTGATACCATTTTGTTAAAGATAGCGCCATTTTCGAGATATTCTTTGATTATTATTTTTCTTAAATGGAAATCTCAATTTTTTATTATTTTATCTTTTTTTATTCATTAATTTGAAGAACTTTTGTTTGAAACATTTTTTTATTTGTCTAGTACTTTTTGAGATATTTAAGTTAATATCAAAAAAACTTGATATCTTTCAATATTTAACTTACGATATTTCGGTAATTTATCGGAAGAAAGTTGGGACATTAGACTTTTTTACACTATTTGGTTTCTATAATATGCTGTTACTTTAGTGCCCTATCTTAATGATTTTGAAACTTCCAAAGATTAACAAATTATAATAATAAAAGTTAGGGCACTATTGTAACAGCATATTCTAGAAATGAAATAGAGTACAAAAATCTAGTACCACTTTTTGTTCTTTTAATTTTTTTCACATTGTTACATCTTGTTGATAATAATTTTTGTAATTTCTTTGATACAACAATGATTTGCGTTCTTATGAATATTATTATTTACTTATCGTGTTACTTGAAAAAATATGACTTTCTAAAGAAGAATTGTGATTGTACTTTGTGGACATGTTGCATTCGCAAGAAAATAACGACTGTGGTAGTTCAACGCGATTGAGTGCAACTTTTCTTTTTACCATTTTATTCTATATTCTCACCGAAAAGAGTCAAACCCAGCTTAACTGGACTAGGATCACTTTGTGTGAATTAGGTAATGCGAGCCACCGATGACCCGAACGATACTAGAGAGCCTTCAACATTATAATATTTCGAATACTTTACACAAGCGAAGAACGAAATGAATCGTTTGATGCGCAGCACGCAGATAGAAAGATGCGGGAACACCCGGCGCGCGAATATACGTTAAACTTGTTTGTTATCATTGACACCGATATAACCGGATTGCGATAGTGTCGGTGCGTCGACGATGCATCTGTTTCGGGCGATTTGCTCTCTCTCAGTAAGTGATATCGCGTTATGATGACGATATTGGTTCGATATGGATAATATGTCGCATCATGTATAACGAATCTTTGAATTCGTTACGCACATTATATGCCCGTTACGCGAGCATCCACGCGAGATAGCGCACGTATGTGTTGCGGGAAAGAACTGCGTGTAGTGCATTACGTGTTCGTTTATCGCCGTGCGCGTTTGCGGCTCGTGAAACTACGCGTGCGTTTAATTAATTATCGAACCGACGATCGAATCGGCGCGAACACACGGGGCAGAGTGAAATTCTATTAACCGGATCTCTAATTCGATCGTCGATATAGTAACACGTTCATCTTCGCCAAGTTGCCTCGTGTCAATTCTTTCGTTGCTTCTTCGGCAAAGGCTATAGATAATCGTGTATCACAGTAAGTACACGACGATCAACAATAAGTAATTAAAAAGTCGATACCTTGGATTCGTATTGTTGTTTTTTGAACTTGTCTAACATGAAAGACACTAAAACTCGTATCGATAGTTACCATATTAAACCTATCTTATGTGAGATATTTAAAATTGAATTTAGAATCAAGTATGAGTTTTCCAGTTGAATCACAATTGCAAATATAATATCACGAATATTGTATTTAGTTGAAAAACTCAGATCTGGCTTTCAAATCTAAGAATTGCGACAAATTTCAAGTAAGGATTATTAATACGAACCTTAAACTTAAATTTCTTATCGGATTTGAGTTTGAATCATAGAAATACATGTGGCATTTTGTGTTGATAATCATGATTCAATAGAGGCAGAGAGAGAGAGAGAGAGAGAGAGAGAGAGAGAGAGAGAGAGAGAGAGAGACTCTCATCTCTCTAACTAGATACAAATCTGAGTAATTCATGTGAGACAAATTTGAAATAATGAATATTAATATGAATCTTAAACCCCTGTAAGCTTTCATGTTTCATTATGCATACATTCATTTTTTATAAGAAAGTTGATCAGAACAAGCAATTCCGTTGCGTTTGTCGCGTGTAATAGTTGGTTTTACGAAAAAAGCATTAAATCACAAAAAGACATTTTTGTGTGACAAAAGTTCTCACGGAAAAATCACTCGCATTTTTTAATAGTCGTTGGTAATCTTAAATTTCTCTCTCATGCCCGCGCACGGCACAATGAACCAAGCACGTATGCGCGTGGATTGCGTAGCGAATCTTCTTCGTTTCCTCATTCTCTCGACGTCATGTGACATCGTGACGTCAGTCTAACGAGAGAGAAAGAGAGAGGGGGAGAAAGAGAGAGAGAAAGAGAGAGAGAGAGAGAGAGAGAGAGAGAGAGAGAGAGAGAGAAAGAATCCTCCTTAACCCTTCCCCGACACTGTCTATATACTACATTAATCCGCAATTTGTGGGCGTATCTGTCGACATAATGGTGATTGGCTCATAATTACACATGATCGTAATCTCTGTGTATTGTTTCGTACAAAGGCCAATTAGTGACGCGCGACTGAATTTCAATAGGAAGTACATGATGCGGCGAATATGCTGGGCGCATATTATCGCCGAAAAAACATTTAATCGGAATGTCAGCAAATTAGTAGAGTCACAGGCACACGCTTAGTTATCAACTCCGCTTAGTTCGAGAAAGTTCACTTATCATACCGTGGTTAGACGCTGAGCCGCGAACAATCGTTCGAGTTCTGAAGTGCCTACAGCAGTTCTTCTCGAAAGCAGACTTTGCGATGTCCACAGGTAGTTCATGCTATCAAAATGTTGATAATTGTAATACCGTTTCGTATCGTCAGTTGCGACAATAATTAATTGACAATTGTTATCAATTAGGACACGACGCGTTGTCGAATCAATCGTAGATAAACACTCGGTCGTAATATAACGCTCTCGGATGCGAATTTATTGTGAGACAATTGTCTTCAGTCTCGTGTGTAATTCAGGATAAATATTATGGCTTTTGTGCAATTATTATCGTGAACTTTTACAAATAGTTAATTTTTCACGATAAATAATTACACATCTCCATTTTTCTTAATCCTTAGCTGAATAAATTATATTTATCGCACAGTAGGACAAAATTATAAAACTAAAAATATTTCTCTTGAAGATATTTAAAACATACTAGTTCTTACAGTCTTTTGTTTTTCGTAAAAGATAATATAAAATTTAATAAAGTTATTCAATTCCAGAAATATTTCAAAATTATTAATTTCATTTAAAATAACAGGAGAAGTGATTTCGTGTTTCAGCGAATTCCAGAATTCCAGAAATATTTCAAAATTATTAATTTCATTTAAAGTAACAGGAGAAGAGATTTCGTGTTTCAACGGATTCTGCTTGCGCGCATACGGATTAGTGCATCTTGTATTGCACAATTTAATAAGAAACGGACCGTATATCTTTCAGATTTTTGTTCTAATTAATAATCAACTTTTTGCAGCCTTTTTAATAAATGATTTAATACTTTAAATTTTTGTGATGTGGAGAAATATACAATTTCGTAAGTGATTCTTCGTCAACAATCTCATCCCGCGTGGATGTCAACGTTTAATTCTCGTGAAAACATAGCGATACTGTTTACTGACGTAATACGTCAGGCGATTCAATCAAACAATCCTATTTCATGATTTAATCACATTATCATTTACTCGATCAACTCTTGGAAATGCGAGCCGCATGCCTTGCAAATTCGGTCTCTCAGATAATACCCGTTTCAGTTTACATCGGCCGAAACGAAATTTGTTTACGCCAATTTTAATTTGCCGGATTGAAAGCCTGCAATAGTAGAATTGTATTTGTCCTGGCTTACCCATTGGAACTTTGCCGTTAATTATGTTATGTGCAATTTAATACGATTCAGTCGTATTGATCAAATTGACCTTTCATTCGGATAAACGCTCAAATTATATACAATAGCACACGTAGACGACGGACGCTCTTAATTGTGATGCGCAAAACTGTGTTTTATAAATATTATAAGTATTTTCCCTTCAACTTTAATAAAATAGACATAACCGGCTCGATATCAATGAATAACGACGTTGATCTTCCTATCAATTAACTTTCTTGACCGACAAAATAGATGGTGGCGCACGCGCGATCTCACACACCTCGGGCACAATTTTTATCCGACTCTTACTCGTTCGCAGACTACTTAAGCGACGACATGTCAACAAACGGCCCGGAATTGACAGTCAGACGGCCGGTCTATCAGCAGGATGAGCTTAATCACTTGTATAAATATGTGAAGCCTAAGAGGATTCGTAAGTATCAAGATTTCGACTTGGGAATGTGCGCTAATTTTACCTTTCACTGTGCCTGGCCTTTTACTTGAACTCGCGCGTTCGTATGGGAAACCGTGCGATGAAACGTTGACCACTACTTTGCGCATTACAAACAGAACCGGTCGAAACTGGTAAATTGATCACGAGGAAACGGAATAGATGAAGGCCGACATCTTTTCGGAACGCGGAGTCACATAGATCATGGGAGTACTAAGAATGTTTGGACGATGTTATTTTGGTGTGATTGTCAAGATCTATTTGAACATGAATCGAGAATCATTTTGTTTTAAATGTTATTACTACATGTTTAACAACTAAATCAGATACCGGTTGCTGCGTTGATATTAACTTAAACGATGATCTACTGCTCTTTAGTTAGTAAAGAAGTATCGAGAAGATGCAAGAAAATAAAGCCAGTTGCGCTTTTAAAAAAATCTATACCTCTGATCGACTGGATTTCTTCATACAACTGGAAGGACAATATATTGGGAGATATTGTTGCTGGCATTACCGTAGCTGTAATGCATGTTCCACAAGGTACGTTACTCTAATAAAGAGCTTTGATTTCATTTCTGATTTTTTAAATGTCTGGATCTACAATAATAATACGATTAAACGAAGTATATACATACGATATAATTAAAAAAATAATGTCAAACTAGCAAGTTTGGTTTCGTCTTCAATCACCGCTCTACGTATATGCATATATAGGGTGAGTCATTTTAAGTTACCCACACCAATAACTTACTTATTTTTGATCGTGGAAATAAATATTTCAGACAAAAGTTATATAGTTTTAAGGGAAACATAAAACAACTATATCAGTATGTTTACAGATGGCGCTACTTTCGAGATATTCACTGATCATTACTTTTCATAAATAGAAACCCTAATTTTTTATTATGTCATATTTTTCTACCAATTAATTTTAACAACTTTTGTCTAAAACATTTTTCTATTTGCCTAATATTTTTTGAAATATTTAAGGAAAACTCGGTAATATTTTAAATATTTAATTACGATATCTCGCTAATTATTTGTCGGAAGAAAAAATAGTACTAAATTTTTTTATTCTATTTGATCTCAAAAATATATTGTTACAATAATGCCTTAACTTTTGTTAACTTATCAATTTTTAGAAATTTCAAAACAATCAATTTAATAAAAATCAGGGCGCTATTATAACAATATATTCTTGAGACTAAATACAGTAAAAAGTCTCGTACTATTTTTTCTTCCGACAAATAGCGAAATATAGTAAGTTAAATATTGAAAAGGTTACTGAGTTTTCCTTAAATCTCAAAAAATATTAGGCAAATAGAAAAGATGTTTCAGATAAAAGTTGTTAGAATTAGTTGATACAAAAAGATGATGTAATAAAAAATTTGGATTTCTACTTAAAAAAGTAATGATCAGATTTCGAAAGTGACGCCATCTGTAAATAAATTGATATAGTTGTTTTATATCCCCTTTTAAACCATATAACTTTTGTCTGAAACATTTGTTTCTACAATCAAAAATAAAAAAGTTATTGAAGTGGGTAACACACAAATATACATAATAAAATGACTCACTCTGTATATTAAAATATTTTTATTTTTATTATCTATATTTAATAAAACTACTACTATATTTGCGACGGGGTTCTATTGTGAAACTTTAGCTATATCAGGAGGAACAAATTTCTTTCATATTCCTTTTATGTGGCAGAGACGCTTAAATTAATGTGTTGTATAGTTGATCTCGATATTTTTTTTACAGGTATGGCTTACGCGATCTTAGGCAATGTACCGCCCATTGTTGGTATGTACATGGCTTTCTTCCCAGTGTTGGTATATTTCCTCCTCGGCACGTCCAGACATAACTCGATGGGTAAGTGTCCATCGTTGAGTTATGTCGAGTCATAAGCAACCTCGATCGAGGCTAAAAAAATTATTTTTTCTCAGCAAAAATAATTGATAAGCTGCCTATTATTAGAGTGCACGAGTTATTAATAGAAAATTTGATATATCCGTTAAATTTATTTATAACTTCGCGTTTCTCCTATGTTAATGTTTGTTAATATTAATCCGACAGGTAAAAAATTCATAATTAAATAAAATCCTTGATTTTCTTTTAATTAAGGTACGTTCGCGCTTGTATGTATGATGACAGGAAAAGTTGTTACCACATATAGTTCTGCAGCAGTTTCAATGAATAATACGTCAGTCGAGAATGGTATTTTAATTTCCAACATAAGCCGTCAATATTCACCGATAGAGGTTGCGACCGCAGTCACATTCACAGTTGCTATCATACAGGTAATTTTATTGTATGATTCAAATAAAAAGTCACAATTTCCTTTGATATATTATTTTAAAGAAATATTTTTTTAGTAAGAAAAGTTTTAATTTAAAGGACCCCGTACAATTCCTTATGTAAATTGGATTTCGGTGAAATTGGCTAAATATTTGATATGTTATAAATCTTGTCTCTCTGATAAAAAGTTCCCATAGGCACAACTCCCAATAATTGACCATTTGACTTTTACGAGGCATCAAATGTCAAAAGAGTTTAATATCACAATTTCTTATTTACAATGAGTAAGATGTATTCCTACTTTGATTTATAACTAAAAATTTGTTTTCTGTATATATTTAAAAATAAAAAGCTATAAAGGTGACATTGACTTGAAGATGATGACTTGAGATTTCAGAGATTTCTGTGATACTTTCATTTTCTATGTGAAACACGTGTTTCAATACGAGTATAATTCAGTATAATACATTAACAACTGTACCACAACTGTACAACAAGTGTACCATTCGATTATGTTTCGCTTTCTATTGAGAATACAAAGCACAACTTTTTTAATTAAACTATATTTTAAAGCATAACAATTAAAAATATTTTTGGTTCATTTACAATTAAGACACAAGTGTGCATCATCCATCAAATCAACTTGCCTATCAGCTTCTTCGCATCTTCTCATAGCTATTTCTCGTTTTATCGCATATCGTCACCATTTAATCGAGCTAACTGATTTAGATGAAAAGCTCGACCACAAACAAAACAAGGCATTTCATTTCCATTTGCCATTTTAGTCAATACTAAATATTCAATATAGAGGAAGTGCGGGTATTGTGTAGTGGGGTAATGTGGATTTTTCTAGTCTGTCAAGTATCGCATCCGAACGAATAGCAGTGGAATTATTAACTGCTGGACATTACATGTGATTAAAAAGTGAATTTTTAATGAACTAAAGATATTCTGAATTGTTACGCTTTAAAATATAGTTTAATTAAAAAAGTTGTGATTTGTGTTCTCAACATAATTCTCAACATTGTGTTTCACATAGAAAATAAAAGTATCACAGAAATTATTGAAATCAAGTCATTATCTTCAAGTCAACGTCACCTTTATAGCTTTTTATTTTTAAATGTACACAAAAAAAGTTTTTACATGTAAATCAAAGTAAGAATACATCTTACGTTGAAATAAGAAAATAAGAAAATTTCAATATTAGATACTTTTGACATTTGACGCCTCGTAGAAGTCAAATGGTCAATTATTGAGGGTTGTGCCTATGGGAACTTTTTATCAGAGAGACAAGATCTACAACATATCAAATATTCAGCTAATTCCACTGAAATCTAATTTACATAAGAAATTGTGCAGGATGTTTTAAAAATCCTACATTTCCATTTACTACAAATCTTCTCGTTTCAATTTAATTCGTTTATTTTTTTATGCATATATTATTTACATACATTATACATTATGCTGATATTATCATAATTGTAATGCATGTTCCATCATTTATATTGCTCGGATAAAAAAATTTTGATTTTATTTTTAATTCTTAAATGTCTAAATCCACTTGACAATTGCATAATCGATTAAACGGAATATATAAAATATATGTACAGTATAATAAAAAAATAGTAAAGTTTGAAATAAATTGGGATTGAATATATTTACAAGAGAAATAGAAATATTTTCCCATCTGTAACATTGGATATTTAAAAATGCTTTTAAATCTCAATTTTTTATTTTCGAAATTTGATATTATTTGAATAGAGAGATAACAGATAAATGTAAATAGTAGTTTTAAAAGTTTGATTTGTAAAGTGTTTTTATGATGAGAAACAGAAATTGATGAAAATTTAATGATTTTCTTTTCCGAGATGAGTAGAAATAAGAATAACTATAATTGGATAGTTGTAAAAGTTATCTATGAAGCAATGGACAAGTAGATTAATAAAAATATTTTTACTTTCAAAAATGTATGTCTCATATATATTTAATTTTCTCAGATACATATTATTCCTTGCATTAAAAATATTTGGTAATATCTAATTTGAAAGTTTTTTGAATCGTTAAATTTCTTTAAGTTCATAAATAAAAATATAAAAACATGAATTTTTCCATTTTTAAAAAATACAATGGTTCAATAGAAATTTTTATACAAAAAATTGTATTTTTTACATTTCTTAACAGAAGATGTTAACAGCAAAAATAAACAGCCGAGAATCCTGCTAAATACTAAAAATACTGAAAGTACTGAAGAGTACTATACAGTATAATGCGTATGAAAAAAAGATTTACATAATAATTTTTATGAAAAGTTCGTGAAGACTAATCTTTTTTTTAAATAAACTTAATTTTGATTATTTGTTTGTTTATAATATTTTTGCAATTAACATTGAGTGATTATACACAGTTTTATTATACTTGTTAATGTTCTAGGAACTCCAATAAGAATAAGAAAATTTTTTGCTAGACTTTGTCAGAAAGTCCTTAAAAAATTTCAAAAGTTAAAAGAAAACAAGTGTATATAGTAATATATAAGTATATATAAGTATAGTGGGCCACTTAGCGTCCCACTATACTGCAAAGAGTTAAGGATACGTTATAAATCAAAGCGTTAATATCTCTTGTCGGAATTGGTTTGCTTCAATTATTAATGTTTCTTGCTTATTTGTACATATTGCCTTTTATTCTTTTATCTTCTTGTAATATTGAAAATCTCTGGTCTAGTTAGGAATGTACGTGTTACGTTTGGGAGTAATATCGTCTCTCCTCGCGGACAGTCTCGTGAGTGGATTCACGACTGCAGCGGCGATGCACGTATTTACATCACAAATAAAAGATCTCCTCGGGCTGAATAAGCTACCGCGCCGCGGGGGTGCGTTCAAGCTCATTCTTGTGAGTACGAAATCAAGTTCTGTTTGGCGCTACAAACAATTGTTAAGCCTTTTTTCACCTGGAGCACTTTGTTTCTTATACAATCATTTTCTCTTTTTATTTTATCGTTAAACAAAACATTTACAGTTGTTAAATATTCGGTTAGTTATGGTGAATGCTCCCTGTAAATATTCCGAGATAATCAAGCTGTAATGTAAATGTAATTCGTTTCGTAATGTGTGGCAAAGTTATTCAATGTTACAAAGATCAAGCTTATTAACGTTTATAACATATCACAATTCGTATTATTCCGACGTTGTACAAAGAAAGCTCCGAAAAATAGTAAATCGTTACTAAAAATGAGATAAATTCACATTTTTTAATATAGATTTTACATGCATACATGTTTTTTATTATACAATGTATATTATTTTTATATATATATTTTTTCAATATATTCTTTTTTAATTTTATTGATCAGCACTTATTTTATTGATCTTTTCAGACTTATGTAGATATTTTTAACAATTTGGACAATGTCAATATAACTGCTGTGATATTGTCCAGTATCACTATTATGGCGCTTATATTCAACAACGAAATTCTCAAGGTTAGTTGGTAATAAATGTAATACACATTTTTTTTGCACATAAACAATATATATTTCATGTGCGTAATAGCATGTAAAATAAGCAATATAATCATTGGTATCTCAAAGTTATTGTATTAGCAGGATATACAAAAAATTTCAAGAAATAAAGTTTCTTTAAACGTATTAACAAAAAATAATTATATATAAAAATAGTGGTAACATATATTCATGTTAAGTTTTTATATATGTTCTTCGCTAATGTACTAGACATTGTATTTCATTTTTTAAGAATTTAGATATATTGTTTAAAGATTTTATATATATTATCAATAACTATAATAAATGCCGATGATTATATCGCTTATGTTATAAGGTAACAATTCTAATTATGGATGGAGTCTCAATTTTAAGTCAAATTTAGTTAAAAAGTTATAATACGGATGATAATATAATATAATACGGATAATAAAGTTATAATATAATATACACGAAAACTTTTTTACATTCAATAGTTTTGTTTTACAATTATTGTATTCTAAGGTTACATTCACCTCCATTATTAATATTTAAAAAAAGAGTATAGAATATCATATCATATTTACAACATATTTCATTTAATAAAATTAATGTTTACGATTAAAAAATATATTACCTAAAAAATTATACATATTATATGCTTAGCACATTTTTTTTATTGACTTACAAGGAGATGGCAAGACATATAAAATCGATAATTGAATGAGTTATATTTCATTCGAATAAGGAGGTTGAGTACATAAAAACCTTAAAAGGGTTTGCATGCATGGGCCTCCGTTTGTGAGAAATTTGCAATTAAAGAAACAGCTTCATGTTTAGTGTAGTTACTTGGAATCAATAAGCATGAAGTGCCGTAGCTGCGGAAACTAAGGCGCGCATTAGTATTTTATCGTTTACGTCCGAGGAATGTTCGAATCCTCGTAGTGCCAACTTTTTTTTTTATAATATTATATATTACTATATTTTATAATATTTCTATAATATTTTTAATATTTTTATTATTTTTATAAGACAAAAATATAATGTACATATATACAATAATATCTGTCTTTTTATATACAAAATAACAAGAATAAACGTTTTAATTATTTTTTATAAAATTCAATTCAATTTGATGATTTTGAAATTTCCAAAAATCAGCAAGTTAACAAAAGTCAGGGTATTGTAAAAATATATTCTTGAGACTAGAGCAAAAAAGTCTAGTACCATTTTTTCTTCTGACAAATAATTAGCGAGATATCATAAGTTAAATATTGAAAAAGTTATTAAGTTTTCCTTAAATATCTCAAAAATATTAGATAAATAAAAAAATGTTTCCGACAAAAGTTGTTCAAATTAATTGCTAGAAAAAGATGATGTAATAAAAATTGGTATATCCATTTAAGATTTTTATGTTGATTTTGACTGGATTTTTCAAAGGTATTCCAAGGTCAAATTCATAGCGTCAGTAAATAGATCCTTTGAAGTTCTACAATTTTTGTCTGAAATATTTTTCTCTAAAATGTCGCGTTAATGAAAAAATCGGGTGACCCGTGTAATCTGAAACACCCGGTATATATCTTATATATTTTATGAAAATAATTGCCTATTTTGTGAAGTAACAATATGAATTTCAGCCAAAGGTGGCCAAGTTTTGTCCCTTCCCGGTACCAATAGAAATGCTTGCAGTAGTAATCGGTACTTTGGTATCGATGCAAATGAATCTCTCTGATACTTACAACGTGTTAACGGTCGGCAACATACCAGTAGGGTAAATATATTTTATGTAAATTAATAATTTATATTTAATCAGAAACATTTAATCGGGCGATCTTTTATAACTCAACGTTTTTTTTTTATTACGAGTGCTAATGCGACCTTATGAAAATGGAATTATCGATATCTTCAGCAATAAAACATTTTTAAATATTCGATCGAATATATACAATATTTTTCAAGTACATGTGTTCTTTTTAAATATTCGATCGAATGTATACAATATTTTTCAAGTACATCTGTTCTTAGTGTTTACAGACTTCGAGTATTTTCTTTCCAACCACATTCTTGTTATATATAAAAAGTTTGTTACTTTTATACACGCGGTGGTATTGATAAAGAAAGTTTAAATTATGAACTACAGGTTGAGTGAAAAGTTCGCGGAGCGGTATCTATAAGTAAACGATTATAAATTAATTATAAATTGTAGTTGGTTATATAGAATCACTCTTCACATGAACCTAGGTTAAGTTTCCATCTGTCAATTCTTTCTGTGTTTACAAGCCAATTGAAGTTGACGTGTCAGTATATTTGTTTGCAATGGAAAATTTGAAACAGCGTGCAGTGATTGAGTTCTTTGTTAAAAAAGGTTTAAAGGCAATGGAAATTCATTCCGAAATGGTAAATGTGTTAGGGGAATCTGCTCCTTCAAAAACAATAGTTTGTAAGTGGGTACTAGAGTTTCAACGTGGTCGTATAAGCATTAAAGATTATCCACGCAGTGGACGTCCAAAAGCGCATCAACACTAGAAATCATTGAGCAAATACATGTTATTGTTTCTGAAGATCCAAGTGTGACTATGCGTGAAATTGCTCGTACCATAGGCATTTCAAATGAACGGGTATGGCATATTTTGCATAAAGAATTACAAATGAAAAAGGTGTTTGGAAAAGTGGTGCCGCATACGTTACCAATTCAACAAAAACTCGCTCGAAAGCAAATTTCTCAGCGTCATTTGGATTTTAAGAAGAATAAAACCGATTTTGTGCGTCGTTTTATAACTATGAATGAGACTTGAATCTATCACCATGATCCTAAATTGAAACAGGAACGTTTACGGTGGACTGAAACTAGATGTTCAGCTCCAAAGCTGAAGCAAACAAGCATGAAAGATCGGCAAAAAAGGTTTTAGCATCAATTTTTTGGGATGCTAAAGGGATTTTGTTAATTGACTATCTGGAAAAAGGTAGAACAATTGACTGTGAATATTATTGTAACCTTTTGGATCAATTGGACGCAAAAATTCGTGAGAAAATACCTGGTTTGCAGCACAGACAAATCATTTTTCACCAAGCAACGCACCTGCTCACACAAGTGTTTTGTCAATGTCTAAATTCAATGAATTGAAGTACAAATTGCTTGGTCATCCACCGTATTCGCCAGATTTGGCACCCAGCGACTTCTATCTGTTCCGAAACCTGAAACAATTCCTCCATGGAAAGCATTTTTTGTCGAATGAAGAAGCTATAGCAGCCATAGAGGCATATTTCGCAGACCTCCTAGAAACATACTTCCTCGATGGAATAAAATTATTGCAGAGCCATTGGGCCAAGTGTATTGAAGTTAATGGAGACTATATTGAAGAATAAAATCATTTTTAGAATTTGGTATTCATTATTTCAGTTTCGCTCCGCGAATTTTTCACGTAACCTGTAAAACGCACTCGGCGATTCATCATGTGTATTACGTTTATTGTGTAGGATGCAAGTTATAAAGAACATCCGCGAAGTGTGTGTCTTCGATTTCGATGGAATTTGGTATATTTATAGAGTAGCCACAAATAAAAGACCCAATTTTTTATCAGCAATGGTTCAAGTTTAAGGGGTGAAACTGCCCCTCAAAGTTCCATCCCCTTTATGCTATTTCAATAATGATTGCAGATAAGATAAAACGTTTTAATCAAAAATTGTACGACGATAAAAATCGTATATTTCGCGCACACACGCTTCGCGGGTGTTCCTTATTAGTTTGTCAGACGCATTATGATTCACATTTGATTTTTAAGTTATCGATCCTTCCCAAAGGATTGTGTATTTCTTATGAGGTTATAATATTGAGATTTTTAGATTGCCAATTCCGTCAGTGCCGCCACTATCTCTTATACCCAACATTCTAGTGGACAGCTTCGTGATTACTATGGTCGCTTACACAATATCGATGTCAATGGCACTGATTTTCGCGCAGAAGATAGGCTATGAGGTCGACTCTAATCAAGAATTGATAGCGCAGGTAAATTTGAATGTGCCATCGATATTATATTGTCAATGCAAAAAACATTGAATAAATATCAGAAAATATAATTTCGAAAAACGTATATTTTTTGTTTAATATATTTGGATTAAATTGTATAAATCTCTTATGTATATAAATTATTTATCTTTTTCTTACATTTATTTTTGTTAAAAACATTTTACAACTGAATTTAATATAAATATGTATTTGTCATTATAAATAATTATTTATGTCTTCCAAATAAAAATATCTTATTAATTTTCTTAGCTGGGACCTTTTGGCATTCGTCAACTGTATATAGGATGTTTGAAATTTCTTTCTTTATCAAATATTAGCTTCAATATTTAATTTTCATTATTAAATCACAATTGTGTCTTTTCGGATTATATTATTTTTAAATTGCAATCTAAATAGAAAATGATTATGTAATTAGATAAATATTTTTTTAATGAGATCATGTAGTTTTTTTTTTACATACATCGATTTCACTCGTCATTTTGTATATAACAAGATTATAAACAATGTGACAAGATTATCGAAAGAAAAGAATATTTTCCGAGATATACATTTTATCCTAATACTTTTTAGCATAAATTATAAAATATGTCGTATTTAAAGTATCTAAAGTATTTACTTTTAAATGACATTATTTAAAGATTTTTATATATGGAATAACAAATGAAGAAATTAATATAAAATAACATTGTACAACATGAAATAGTAAAGTCTATTCTAGAAATCTAGTCTAAAAATAAAAAAATAATCTATTGCACTATATAGGTGCATTGATATATTTATGTATGCTGTAACCCACGTAAAGTGTAAAAACTCTAAAAATATTTCTAATTATATAAACAAAAGTCTATTCCCTCTCTCTCCTGAAGGGGGATGAGGGTAATTTTGTAATTTCAAATGGGACCTCCTATGAAATGTTACATATTTAGATCCTACGGAAAGAAACAAATAAACTTTATCTGGAATATTTCTTTAAAAAATACTTCTATCAAAAGTTATAAACATTTAAACTTTACAGTAAAATGCATTCAAAGTAAAGTAATTAAATAAAAGACTTCATAGTTTTTCATAATTTTTACTTTATTAAATGTACGAACTGCTGACCACTCACATTTAATTCTTTGAACCATATATTTTTCCTTACGCGCAATTTTCGCCGAACTCCTCTATAAAGGGTTTTTCAAATCGTTGAATACGAATCTAATGTCGGAAATTAGAATTATTCGAAATTCAAGATGATGGGTCGAAATTAGATTGATCTACGAGGGTAGTCCCAGAAGTACCTGACCTGACGTATAGATAGCGGTTGTTGTTTGAAAAGAATGACCATAGTAGAAAGTACCAACCTTATAAAGCTTAAGTTTGAAGTTTGACGACGCTACGTTGTTTAGTATCAGGTGTAGTAAAAAGAAATCCATTATTTTTCCAATAGATGGCTTTAGTTATCTGTATCTCGCGTTGTATAAGTCCGATCGGGTTCCACTAGATGGCGTTAGAAAGATGAGATTTCGTACTAAAAAACTTTTCTGACAGTTTTGTGATTAGTTGACTCAGTTTTGTTTGAGCGCGCGTCAAAGATGGACACTAGCAAAAAGAAAATACGCTATATTTTACAGTTTTTTTTCGATAAAGGCGAAAACGCAAGCCAGGCGGCTGAAAATGTGAATAATGTTTATGGTCCTGATACTGTAATAGCCAATCATGTGCAATTTTGGTTTCGTCGATTCCGTTCCGGTAATTTCGATGTCAAAGATGCACCACGCACTGGAAGGCCAATTGTCGAAAATATCGATAAAATCATGGACATTGTCGAGTCCGACCGTCATGTAAGCACTGTTTCGATTGCCCAAGAGCTAAAGATTGCACAAAAAACCGTTTGGAACCATTTGAATAAGGCTGGATACAAAAAGAAGCTCGATGTATGGGTGCCACACGAGTTAACGAAAAAAAACCTCATGGACCGAATTTCCATCTGCGAATCGCTGCTGAATCGCAACAAAATCGATCCATTTCTGAAGCGATTGGTCACTGGTGATGAAAAGTGGATCACTTACGACAACGTCAAGCGAAAACGGTCGTGGTCGAATCGCGGTGAGCCAGCGGAAACGGTGGCCAAACCAGGATTGACGGCCAGGAAGGTTTTGCTGTGTGTTTGGTGGGATTGGCAGGGAGTTATCTACTATGAGCTGCTCCCCTACGGCAAAACTCTTAACTCGGAACTGTACTGTCAACAATTGGACCGTCTGAAAGAAACAATCGCCCAGAAGCGGCCAGCTTTGGCCAATAGAAGAGGAATTGTGTTCCATCAGGACAACGCCAGGCCACACACATCGATAGTGACTCGCCAGAAGCTCCGGGAGCTTGGTTGGGAGGTTCTTATGCATCCACCTTATAGTCCGGACCTGGCACCAAGTGATTACCATCTGTTCCTGTCCATGGCGAACAATTTTGCTGGTGAAAAATTCGCTTTACGAGAGGCTTGTGAAAATTGACTATCTCAATTTTTTGCCAATAGGGACGAGGGCTTCTATGAGAGAGGCATAATGAAATTATTTTCAAAATGGCAACAAGTTATCGAACAAAACGGCGCATATTTGATCTAAATCGGATCATTCTAACTATGGTAATTAAAGCCTTCAATTTCATGCAAAAATAATGGATTTCTTTTTACTACACCTGATATTTGTTTGGCAGCCATCAATAGTGAACGCTCTCAGTGAATTTGTAAACATAGAAAAAATTGGTTATCGTTATGTGATACAATACTTTCATTTGAAAAGCCTCAGTTCAACCAATATGAAAGTGGAGCTAGATTCTACTCTGGGAGAGTCTGCTCCTTCGTTTACAACAGTAAAATATTGGGTGGCAGAGTTTAAACGAGACCGTACGAGCTGTCAAGACGAACATTGCAGTGGTCGACCAAATGAGGTGACCACGTCAGAAATGGTGAAGAAAATCCACAAAATGGTATTGGATGACCGTCGACTGAAAGTGCGCGAGTTAGCAGACATGGTAGGTATTTCAAAAAGTGCTGTACATCGCATATTGACTGAAAATTTGGACATGAGAAAGCTGTGCGCAAGATGGGTGCCGCGATTGGAACAAAAACAGCGTCGTGAGGATGTTTCAATCGAGTGTTTGGCGAAGTTTCGCAGCAATAAAGCCAAGTTTTTGCGTCGATTCATAACCATGGATGAAACATAGGTCCATCACTTCACATTGAGACGAAGGAACAGTCAAAACAATGGACCAAGGTGGCTTGATGACTATTTTGAGGAGCTCGACGATTCCCACTATAAACAGGATGTCGAAGCTGTTGAACATCGCTGGGAAAAGTGTATTGAGCTGAAAGGAGACTATGTAGAGAAATAAAGATATTTTTTCCCAAATTTTTTGTTTTCTTTGTTAGGTCAGGTATTTCTGGGACTACCCTCGTACATCAAATTGTGTATCCGAAGGTTTTTGGGCTCACTGATTACTAATCTGAAGTCGAAATCGACAAATTCAATATGGCGGACCCAATATGGCGGATCAAATTGTGAAAATTAGATCGATTCGCATTAAATTGTGTATCAGAGGATTTCTGAGGTCGCTGATTACGAATGTAAAGTCGAAATTGAGAAACTCAAAATCACATAAAATTATCTATCCACGAGTTTTTGGGGTCGTTGATTTTGCGACTTGGTTCAAAACAACGAAACTCAGAAGCGCGAATTGAAAAGTCAAGAGCCGAATTGACCGATTTTTGGAACATAAATGGGAATGAGATTTCTTTGTCACTATGGTGATCATACGCTCATTTATATTTGCCCTGTTCACATTTATTGCCACAAGTTATGAAGATAATGTAATAAGAGCATGACTCCATACAATTTTGTGAATGCTTTATCAACTAATTTTACTACACGAATAATATACAGTACCCACCAAAAGTTCCGGGCCACCTAAATAACTTCTAAATGGCTTAAGATATTGTATTCAAATTTATAGGGATACGATGGGATTATAAAATCTATCATTTACTCACAAAAACACCCACCTCTACATTACAGCGGGTCAAAGGCAGAGGGAGGCCGGAAAATCTTAAATGACATTTGGGGTTGAGTGAGGGCTCATTTGAAGGAGCTTTTTGAGACGAGAACAATGCGGGATCGTCGAGGTCTCTACGATCTTTTTCACAGTTATGATCATTTAAACATTTCTATTAAGATTTTGCGATAAAGAGACTACGACGAGTAAGATAAGGCTTCACCCGTATTTCTAAATAGGTAGAAGTACATATGTGTGTATGTATATGTGTTTGTGTTCGCCGCGAGGATAAGGACTCCGTGGTTCATCAACTCCACAGTATTTCACGACTTTAGACCTTCCTTTTCACGAGAAATGCAGCTGCACCCATAAAGTTCCTAACACTGATGTATGTAAGGAATAGAAACACTAATTATTTTATTAAATGTTCGAATTGGTGTCCTTTGACAACTTAGCAGTGTCCTAAGCGAACGTAAAACGTATCCATAACATTAGTTATAAAATCTGATGTAATTTAATTCGAAACGTTCACTATTTTTTCTCACAGCTCTTCTAAGTTTGCGGACCTAGTCTTATAGGCTTTGGCTTTTAAATATTCCTAGTAAAAAAAGTCCAATGGGGTCAGATTTGGTGATCTCGATGGCCATTCTATTGTGCCTCTTCTACCAATCCATCGATCAGTAAAAACATTGTTGAAAAAATTTCGAGCTTTCAGAGAAAAATGAGCCGGAGCCCCATCCTGCTGAAACCAAACATTGTGGAAAGCATCTCTAGTAATATCTAGAATAGGTATCACTTGGTTGTTTAGTAAATTGCTGTAATTTTGTGAATTTATATTTCCTTCAATGAAAAATGGTCCTATAATACGATTAAGCATTATTCTGGCCTAAACATTAACTTTCTGAGGATACTGCGTGTGACTGTCTCTCATCCAATGTGGATTTTCATCTGCC